TTTCTAAAACTACCTCTGATTTTAGATGTGTGCAGTTTCAGATCTTTTGTTAACTGTGCAACCTACTTTTATCTCTGTGTAGCACACTTTCCTCTGCAGTTAGCCTGCTTTGTGGTAAGATTATGAAGCACTTCCTGTTTTTCATGCACATTGTATCTTTCCTATCAAGAGTAGAGTGTCGAGTTCAACAAACTAATGTTCTAGTTCAGTAAGTCTACTTCCTCAGAAAAACTATGGGCTCTTTCAGAGGGAAATAGTCTAAAATGACTGCAAACCATTTAATTTCTCCTGATTACCAGAAACTGCTAGGAAGCAGGCCAAGATTAGAGATTGGAAACTCATTTGGACTATAACTCCTGAAATTTCCTAGGCAATAGCTATGAAAACCTACTGGGTGATCATGGGCCACGGATGTTGGCCCATGATCACCCAGTGTACCTCTGAACAAATCTTACTAAGGCCCCTTCAACATTGGGCCCTTCCACACAGCTGTATAAAATCCACATTGAACTGGATTACATGACAGTGTGGACCCAGCTATTTCAGTTCAAAGTAGATATTGTGGATTATCTGTCTTAATATTCTGGGTTATATGGCTGTGTGGAAGGGTCCACTGTCCTTATATCCCAGGAACTGATCCCAGGTTATCTGCTTTGAATTGGATTATATGAGTCTCCACTGCCAGATAATCTGGGATAAGCAGATAATCTGGGATCGGATTCTGGGATATAGGGCAGTGTAGAAGGGGCCTAAGAAAACCCCATAATAGTTTTGTCTTAGCACCAGATGTCAAAAATGTCTTGAAGCCATACATATCATCATCACCAATATCAACAACAGTTAAAGACTGGAAGATTTTCAGCACTTTAATTCAGAAAGTAACTTTTCCAAGCACCGATCAAGTAGAATCCTATGACTGGTGTTCCCTCTTCTCAAGGACTAAGGAAAGGGTGGGAAACTATGGGATATTTCATTGTCAGTTTTCTGCGTTTATGAGCATTCCCGCTCAATAACCTAATTTATATCTTTTCTTTCTTCCAGTATGGTAATAAATAAAACAAAGCACAGAAAAAGCATGGTTGATATGATATTTTTTTAAAAAAATTAAACAATTCTATTTAAAGTAGTATAAGGGTAGGTTTTATTAGGCACTCCAAGTGGCCAGCTACTGGTCAAAGGACATTTAATCAACTACCAAGCTTGCAAACTTTGTGCTTTGTTTGTTTGTTTGTTAAAAAAATGCAATGCAACTGTTTGGTCTGCCCCTGACATGATAAATAATTAGACATAAGATCCACAGTAAATAGTGGATAAAGTCATTGGCGGTGGATCACAGGGGAGAGGAAGGAGGGAAAGGATTTGTTAGGATGTTATAATTTATATGTTTTGCTAGTTATTGTATTTTTTTGTTTTTGACTGTCACTTGTATACAATAAAATTGAAAATTTGAACACAATAAAATAAAATAAATTTAATATAGTTTTAAACAGGAGTCCCTAAACTAATGCCCGTGGACTGTATGCAGCCCTCCAAGGTAATTTACCTCCCCCCCCCAAACTTTAGACTTAGAGTTGCCCTAAGTCTTAAATGACTTAAATGACAACAACAATCCTAATGAATTAACATCAGCCAAAAGCAGTCCCATATATCCCATTGAAATACTGGAAAGTTTATGTTGGTTAAAATTGTTCTTCATTTTAAATGTTGTATTGTTCTTTCATTTTTGTGTGTGTTACAGATATGTGCAGTATTAATTTGTTTTAAAGTAAGGTGTTATAGTGTACAACATATAAAATCATTATAAGGCTATATATTTAATTCATTATACAATAAATCTTTGCTGGGTTTATTTTTTATATCTCTGTCTGGATGTTTTGATTTAAGAATTAATAAAGAGGAGTGGTTGTACAATATGAATAAGGATTACTGTTCAGAAATGATGATCACATCTTGGCACCAGGAGTGACATTTCAGAAAGGATTTTAATGGTAATAAGGCAAGCTGAGTGATAGAAACCTAAGAGTTAAAGTGTGGCCAACTGGGAAAGGGATCAGGCACAAGGGCAAACCAGTTTTAAAATGATGACCATATTTAAAACCTGAAAAATGAGGGATGGAAAAAACCTAAACATTAATCACACGTAGTCCTTTCTAGCAACCTGAAATATTCAGAACAAAGTGAAGACAGATTCAGAACAAAGTGAAGACCAAGTGGAAACCAGGTTGAGAGCATCTGGATAAGAATTAAGGGGACAAGGACTAAAAAAGATGTAGTTGTGGTGTTTTACTATAGACCTCCAAGCTAGATGGAAGGATGAAGCCCTCCTTTACTAAATGACCAAACATGCAGAAAGAAGAGATATAGTAGTAATGGGGTATTTCAACTAATCTGAAAACAAGCTTTGCCAAGAATACAAAGTGCAATAAATCCCTCCCTTGCCTTGTAGACAATTTGATTGTCCAGAAGATAAAAAAGAGAACAAGAGTATCAGTTATTCTGGATCTGATCCTAACCAACAGTGAGGATCTGGTTAATGGAGTGGAAGTGGTGGGATCCTTAGGTGGGAGTGCCCATGTTCTCCTGGAGTTTGTGATACAAATGAAGGACTGGACTAAGAGAAGTCAAACATGTATTCTAGACTTTAGGAGATATGACTTCAGGAAATTGATACTGAACATGGACATGAATACTAAAATAGAAAAGAGTTAAATGATGGATGGGAGCATAGCTACAAACGGTGCCAGCAAGGAGAAAAAATAAAACAACGAGAGCATTGAAGATACTAGCAGAAGTCATTTCAGAATCACTGGCAATAATCTTTGAGAATTCTTGGAGAACAGAAGTACTGGTAGACTGGAGGAGGGCAGATGTCCCCATCTTCAAGAAGAGAATAAAAGAGGACCCAAACAATTACCATCTCGTCAGCTTGACATCAATACAGGAAAGATTTTGGAGAAGATAATTAAGGAGGCAGTCTGACTTGGAGTATGATGGAAGCTCCTTCCTGGAAGCTTTTTAAAACAGGCCAGACGGCAATCTGTCAGGGGTACTTTGTAGTTTTCTTGCATGGTGGGGGTTGGACTAGATGGCACATGTGGTCTCTTCCAATTCTATGATTCTATGATTTTGACAGGAACAATTAGGTCAATTTTAAAGCAAGGGTGGACAGATGTTAACCAGCAGATTTTGCTAGACCAATTCATCACCACTGTCTATGCTGGTTAAAGATTTTGAACATAGCAACCCAACCTTTTCTAATGCCTAAATATATTTTGTTATCTCCCCCCACCATCTGTTATCAGTGTGTACCAATCTGTGACTGTTCAGCGGAACCAGCTGCATGATTCATAGTTCATCATACTATACTTTCACCTATTATGAAACACTGATAATTACGCAGACCCACAATGTTCTATAGAAGTCCTACTGCACATATTTATAGAAAACACCAAAGGGTTTAATTATGTAAATGAAGATGTGGAAACATTTAGGTTTTCAAGACTATTTGAGAGCGATCCTGTAGCACAAGAAATGGAAGTGGGAGGGAAAGAATTCTCCTTTCATGTCAAGGAGAGGAAGACACACCATTCATCGCCACAGAGATAGTTTGTGGGATGGTTTCATGGCCATTTAAAGTTACATATGATGCTATCCACACATTGATTCCAGAGGAAAACTACACTTCTGTCAATGAATAAAAATAGGTGGGTATCTTTTTCCACTTGGTGACACAATGGGCACAGATGGTTAGCCAGACGACCTCTTCACTTTTGGGCCGTATCGTTGTGCTGCTAAAGGGAAAACACACGGGGCAACTCATGACCATGCACCCTCCCTCATCCCCTCATTACACATTGGGGATGGGACAGGGTGAACTGGCACCCTTTCCCTCCCTATATCAGATGGCAGAAAGGGTAGCAACCTGTGTTGCCCCACCACCCTTTCTGCCATCACATGGCAAAAAGGGGAGGAAAGTGCAGGTTGCTTCCTCTGAGCTACTTAAATAACATTTTCCTCCCTATAGTGGAGGAGGAAGCTCAGCATTCCTTTCCACTTTGGGAAGAATGTGGGCGGGGCCTGCTGTGTATTGTGTGATGGTGCACAGCAGGCCCCATCCAAGCCACACACGAAAGCGGCAAAACAGAGCAAAAAACACTGTGTGAAGAGGGTAGACACACTTAGTAGAGTAAACATATTGAATCAATTGTTGAATGGTGAGCCAACACATAGGAAGATCTCATTGATTCACTGGATCTTTGTTGTTCTTTATTCATTTAGTCTCTTCCGACTCTTTGTGACCTCATGGACCAGCCAACACCATAGCTCCCTGTGGGCAGTCACCACCCCCAGCTCCTTCAGAGTCACTGGATCTATTTTTGATCAAACTAATAAAAGCATTAAAGACAATAAGAGTTAGAAAGGAGAATAAATAATGGACACTGAATCAATATAGGCAAGTAAATTGTTTAGCAAAACTTAATGGAATGAAATAGTAATGCAATACTACAGGATTCTTCTCATCTGTGTTTTTTATACTCGAAAAAAATATTTCTATTATAGTTAAATATTGATGCATATTTTCCCATAATTTAGAATGGAAGGATTTGTTCTGAAAGGGCCCATCTGGGTTTACGTGTTCTTCCGTAAATTTAACAAGATTGTAACAGTGGAAGGGGCTTAGTGCTGTGCATTCCACCGAACTCATAATCTGGAAAGCTTCAGTTGGTCAAAAATAGTTAGCTGAGATTCAAAGGCATGTCAACATCTCTATGTTAACATCCACATATAGATTATGCTGAAAGCCATATTAACACGTGCCATTATCATGAGTAGTATAGTAGCTATATATCCCACAAATATGCATGCATTTCCATATATATTCCTTATCTCTGATTTGGGACTATAATAATTTTATCTACCATTTTATAATCTTTTGTCATCTCTAGTTTGATTGCCAAGGGATAACACCAGTTAGCGATTCATTTACTGTGAAAAAAACAAAGATATCTTAATTTTATTTTCAGCAAATAGAAAATATATACATTCATTCTGTACACTGAGATTCTCTCATGATTTTGTGAACTGAAACTGCAAAAGGGATTTAGGTAAAAGACTACCAGACTGCCTATGCAATCCAACATATTGTGTTTTGATTAGAACATTATTTGTGGTAATAAGAGCCTGTACAGAAATTTATGAAATTAGAACAGACTGGTCAACGAGCATGAGACTCATTTTCCTGATCAATGATTACAACAAAAGTAAATGCTAATGGAAACAGATGGCTTGATAATTATTAAAGCATATACTAATCAATTATCAGGGTGTTGCTTGTGAGAAACCTGGTTGAGTCACAAAGAAGACATGATATCATCGGAACCAGTGAGGAATCATCTACATTTATGCTTTCAACATAATGGCAGCATATTCAGTGAATTCAGATTCTACAAAGTGATTGCTTCCCTGGAAATGTTCTCTATGGTCCAGCGTTGCATAAACAAGGGCATCTTGATTGGTAGGCAAGAGCTGATTGGTGACAGATTTATCACATGTAGCTTTTGCCCCTACCCTTTTAGACTTCTTGCTGTTGTTAAGATTGATGTGGATAGCACTGCCATCTGTAAACAGTTGCAAGCGAGGAAAAGATGCCTCGTTGGAAACATGACTAGTAGTATCACTGCAGGGTTTGATATTCTTATAGTCACTGACCTGGGATAAAGAGAGATAATAAGAGGGAAGGAGAGAGAGTTTATCTATTGTTGACAGTAAGATACAGTTGTAGGCAAGTGAGTCCTATAGCCCTCTAGACATTGTTGGACTATAAGCACCAGCAGTCCTCTCCAACATAGCCAGTGGTGAGGAATGCTGAGAACTGCAGTCCAACAACACCTGGAGGGAAATATGATTACTACCCCAATGCAATGTAAATTCTCTATTGAGAATTCTCTATTGAGAATGCTATTGAGAATTCCAGGTTCAAGTTGCTACTGAACCTGGGCAGTAAATTATGGGCATCAAAGGCATGGCATTTTCAGTGGTAGACAATTTTACAAGTAATTTTCCAAACCAGCTTCTCAGATTGTCTTAAGCTCTAAAGACCAACCTAGAAACTAGAGAAATAGGCTGCTCAAGGCTAGAGGTGTCTTCTCCCAGTAATTATGACATTAAACCTTCCTTCGGTCATTTATAGATGTACAACCAAGACAAAAATGCAACCTTACATGTAATGGACTGTTCCTCTAGTGCAGTGTACCAGCAGGATAACAATCAGAGTATTTTATCCTTTATATCATCAGAACTCAACTGAAGCTTTATATTGGTATCACAGTAATTGCCCACATTTTGCTTCCTTATCTTTTTCTTTCCCGTCTTTGTGTTGCTTTCCATTTCTATTCTGTTTGTCCTGTTGCTCTTTACTATAAGCAACTGAAAAGAAATATTCTATCAATGTAGTTCAGTGAGGTACGATGCAAATTATGGTGTTGTATGAAGAATCCAAAAGAATAAATAATAGTAAAACAAATAAGATTTCCCCTTCCCTCCACCAGATTTTAAAGTGAGATACTTCCTTTTAAACTGCAAGGCTCTTGTGTGGAATGCTTTTGAACTCTATATTTTTGGGAAATTGGGGGGGGGGGGTAACTCTATGAACATTTTAAAACTTGAAAATAAAATTTAATGCTATACCTGTATCTGTGGGTCCAGTACTTATGGTTTCATTTATTTACCTCTGGCAAAATATGATGCATTTTCTAGTCTTTCAGTGGGACTCTATGGCATTGTTGGGGCAGAAGTCAAACATTTCAATAAGAGTTCACTATTTTTTGTTCTGAATATTTAAGTGAGGTTGAGGAATGCATCCCTTATGGATACAGGCATCATATTGTATAACCTGCAGCATGATGTTGTCACGTAGATTGACTGTTCCTGTCTATGGTATTCCAGTTAGATATATTATTACATACACAAATTAGGGAAATTATAGAAATAAATCCTCATACTAAGAAAAATTGTACACAGATAGCACAGATTTCAGTGTTTGGAATGAGTTACAAAGTTTCACAATCCAGTATGGAACCAGGATGGGAAGACACAGCAGATGAGATTTGGAGAAACTCTATGAAACTGAGATGGTGTGATTTTCACATACTTCCCTGTGTGTGGTTGGTGCATTTTGGCTATGTAAATAACTGCATTCATGCCTAAGCACTGGGAGCTGAAAGAATGACCATAACCAAAATAAAATAATAAATGATTCAAAAAACAAACCTACCTCATTCATTTCCATTTCTAAGGTTGATGAAATTGTCTTGTTTTTCACTGAAAAAGGCAAGAAAAACAGTATGTTACTGGAACAACTTTCCAAAGATAATTGTACAAGAATGAACCAGACTCTGGGAAATCTCTGACTCATAAAACAAGGACTCATAAAACAAGGAGGAAAGAGCCCAGTAAATGTTACTGGGAGGTCAAATTGTCCTAATTAAATGATGAATACAGGCAAGATATATCTGAAATAAATACATTTTATCAAAACTATACAAATAACTTTTCAACAATCATAAGTACAGTTATCTAACATCATCTCAAAGACAGAGATCAGACAAATAATTTCTTTTCCAAGGGACAGAAAAGGAAACAGAAGACTGATATTTGAAGAGTTTACCTTGTTGCCTCCATTTAGAATGAAGCAGGCCAAAGCAGCAAACAAAGAGGAGGCCCAATGCTCCCAGGGATGACAGGATATAAACAATCAATGTCTTCTTATTTTCAAATGCTGCATGACCTTCTGTAGTATTTTCAGCACCTTCAAATCCAGTGATGTGATTATCTACACAGCCAGTAAAGTACATTCAAATGACTACTGAAATTTCATAGAACAATGATGCATTTCAAATTAAGATGAGCTGCTCAACCTAGATGTAAGATAGTTTTATTGAGGAGTCTTAAACAAATATTCTTGGTGCAATTCAAAAAGCTGTAGCAAGTATCAAGAAACAGGATATTCAGGAGATTTTGTGGTGAGATCTACCGGTGTTTTGTTAGGAGTGAAAAGAACCTCAGAAGGTAAACAGAAGAGAAGTTCAACACTTCTCCCCAGGCTCTAATTATTTTTATTCCCAAGCTGCTTTTTAGATTTCAGTGATGTTCACCAGTTCGGTCCCCAGAACTACTTTCATTTCTTGGCAAAGACAATGAAATATGTGTTTGGGTCCCTCTAACATCATGAAGCTTGGACTGAGAAGGTGAGCCATGACATTCCTTTACTGGATCCACATAAGTTCTGCAGATAACAGAGAAAGAACTCAAAAATCAGTCCTATCTAGATGTTTAGGACATGTTCAGTCTGACTGCATGAGGAAAGAGACCCCTTCCATTGCCACTCCCCTGATGTGATGATCTGAAAACAAGATATTTTACTATAAAGAATGCTCTCCTAATGAAGAACAGTGTCTTCTTACAAAGATGTCTGTTCATACGAAGAGAGAGAAAACAGATGGAGGCCAATCTCAAATGTAAATTCTAACCTATGTGACCCTTTAATTCAAGTATAAGCTACTCTTCCCCCTCTGATAGCAGGTGATTTTCATGGCAGTAGAACAGTGAACCTGATCTGGATTTTAATCTATACTTTAAGGGTGACATCTAAGGGGTTGAACCCTTTTCCCACTTCATATAATTCAGATGAAAACTTATAATGGATTTAGCATTCCTTTGAAAGGAAAGCCCTGGGCAGTCACTGACAACAGGCAAACACTTCAGCAAAAGCTAGGATTCTGCAAACGATTCTCATCTATTCCCATCAATTCCCACTCATTGTGACTTCAAAACACTTTGTACCACGGCATCAAAAGAGAAAAAAATAAATAGAAATGTCAAAGGATAACAGGTTTTTATTAAAACAAAATAAGTAATTTGTTTAAACTCCAGATCAAAACTTGATTGTATGGCTTTGGATGATGATAACATGGATGGGAATCTTATATGGTACTTATGAACACCTGTAACTGTTATGTATTCGTGATCTATATGTACCAATAATTTTGGGGTTTTGAAGTGACAGCTGAAAGTTCTCCCATCTGTACTTACCGGGCAACATCTGCTGTGATTGATAGGGGACTGTTCCCCTGGTTCCTGCCACCTCCCTCACATAAACAAGCTCCAGCACAAAGTGGATTTACAACAGGGATCCTGGTTTTTCCCATCACAACAAGGGTCACTCATGGAAGAGTGTGGAAATGGCAGCCTGCTCTTTATTGAGTGACAGGGGAACAGATCTCCATTGACAGCAGCAACTGCTGATTAGTAAGCACTGGGATAGGAAAGGGCTGTCAAGCTAGAATTCATTGAGTAGCACTGTCATTACAGTGCTTATACAGGATTCTTGCCATGGTTTTTGCAGGTGAAACAATAAAAACAAACAATCAATGAGTTGCATGCATTAGAAAAATGATTAAATTGCCAATATATTATCTGCAGCCAGGAAATCAGAAGATGCTTACTTCTTGGGAAGAGAGCAATGACCAATCTCAATAAAATATTGAAGAGTAGAGACATCACACTGGCAACGAAGATCCGCATTGTTAAAGCAATGATATTCCCCATAGTCACCTACGGCTGTGAGAGCTGGATGATAGGGAAGGCTGAGCAAATGAAGATAGATGCTTTTGAACTGTGATGTTGGAGGAAAGTTCTGAGAGTACCTTGGACTGCGAGAAGATCCAGCCAGTCCATACTTCAGGAAATAAAGCCCGATTGCTCATTGGAGAGAAGGATAGTAGAGGCCAAGATGAAGTACTTTGGCCACATCATGAGAAGACAGGAAAGCTTAGAGAAGACAATTATGCTGGGGAAAATGGAAGGAAAAAGGAAGAGGGGCTGACCAAGGGCAAGATGGATGGATGGCATCCTTGAAGTGACTGGATTGACCTTGAAGGAGCTGGGGGTGGTGACGGCCGACAGGGAGCTCTGGCGTGGACTGGTCCATGAGGTCATGAAGAGTTGGAAATGACTGAACGAATGAACAACAAATATTATCTGCTCCTTTTGTGTTATTTCTACCCACTTTTATAACCATAGGTTCCACTTCTCAATCAGCTTCCTTAAACATCTTGCAAACATTGCTAGCATAAAAAGGCACTGGTGCTTATTTTTTTTACACCCCATCTTTCTCCTGTATCAGGACCAAAGGTAATCCACATTAAGCTAAGAACAAAGAATACTGAAAACCTATTTCACCCAAACTTTAAATTAAGATAAAATAAACAGTTCCTATAAAAATAGTAAATTCCAATAGCCAGAGAGACAATCAAATTTTCTCTGGAAGAACATTCCTTAAATTGGGAGTTTTCTTCCAGAGAAAATTTGATTGTCTCTCTGGCTATTGGAATTTACTATTTTTATATTTACTTAAATTGGGAACAGCCACAGAGAATGTGTTCTTTCCCATGCACACCTGTGATGGTAGAGAAGGCTGAGAGGAGATATGATAGCCATGTATAAATATGTGAGAGGAAGCCACAGAGAGGAGGGAGCAAGCTTGTTTTCTGCTTCCTTGCAGACTAGGACGCGGAACAATGGCTTCAAACTACAAGAGAGGAGATTCCATCTGAACATGAGGAAGAACTTCCTGACTGTGAGAGCCGTTCAGCAGTGGAACTCTCTGCCCCGGAGTGTGGTGGAGGCTCCTTCCTTGGAAGCTTTTAAGCAGAGGCTGGATGGCCATCTGTCAGGGGTGATTTATTATTATTATTATTATTATTACTTTATTTGTACCCCGCTAGCATCTTCCGAAGGATTCGATGCGGCTCACAATAGGCCGAAGCCCAACACAATACAACAATACAATATCTAGCAAATAAACACAGTTAAGCAGAAAAACAATAACAATAGCAATACGACAAGACATTATTAAAAACTGAGTCGGCCGGAGTAGGGGTACAAGGTTAAAAGTGCTGATGTATCGGAGGGGTGTGGGATTATGATATAAGTGCGGTGTGCAGTGTGCGGTGATTTGGTACTAAAGTGCTTCTGGGATTTGGTAGTGGGAGATTCCTAATCTGAAAAGGCACATTGGAACAGCCAGGTTTTCAAATTCTTTCTGAAGACTGCCAGTGTAGGGGCTTGTCTGAGATCTTTCGGGAGGGCGTTCCAGAGCGGGGGGCCACCACAGAAAAGGCCCTGTCTCGCGTCCCCACCAAGCCCGCTTGCGACGCGTGCGTGATCACGAGCAGGGCCTCTCCAGATGACCGGAGTGAGTGTGGGTTCGTAGACAGCGATCGGTCACGCAGGTAGGGTGGTCCAACCGTTCAGGGCTTTGTAGGTAAGCACCTGCACCTTAAATTGGGCTCGGAGAATAAACGGCAGCCAGTGGAGCTCCTTGAACAGGAGGGTTGACCTCTTCTGTAAGGAGCCCCGGTTAACATCCTGGCTGCTGCCCGTTGGACCAGTTGAATTTTCCGAGCCGTTTTCAAGGGCAGCCCCACGTAGAGCGCATTGCAGTAGTCAATCTAGAGGTGACTAAGGCATGGACCACCCCGGCCAGATCAGCCTTAGCGAGGTACGGACGTAGCTGGCGCACAAGTCTCAGTTGTGCAAATGCCCTCCCGCCGAAGCCTGAGCCTCAAGCGTGAGCGATGAATCCAGGAGGACTCCCAAGCTACGGACCTGTGACTTCAGGGGGAGTGTAATATTGATTTGAATGCAATATTCCTGCTTCTTGGCAGGGGGTTGGACTGGATGGCCCATGAGGTCTCTTCCAACTCTTTGATTCTATGATTCTATGATTCTAGAGGGAAAAGAGAAAATGTATAGATTATTACTTATGATGCCTACCTTGGACAGTAACTTCTATTGCATGGCCCGCAATGGTATTCATATCCAAAATTGCTTCACAGCGATATAGTCCGCTGTCACTTATATTGATAGATGGAAATTTCAAAACAAAAATGTTCTCACTTATCCATGACTCGTTATGATTTTGTCCAGTATGCAAAATGGAGAAGTCCTGGAGCCTTGCATTATACTTGTACCAATTCATTTTAGGCTGTTTTTGGCAGTATTTCACAGGGCACTCTATTGTAACTGAATCACCAGATTTGATGGATATCTTGGTTTCTCTCTTGACAGTAACATCAGTGGAGCAGTTATCGGCCTCATTCCCTAAAAGAAGAAGGTGGACAAAAAAATATATTTTGCACATCTCAAATTTTCAGTATGCATGCAGTGCATGCAATATCATTTATAGCTTTACTATTAGTTTTTCATTCATTAATCCATCATGTTTTTGCAATATGCATTTAAATGACTGGAATGGGATGGCTAGCTAATATGTTACTGTTGTTGTGTGCCTTGGATAAAGAGTTTCATGCGATAAAGTCCCATGTACCTTCTTCTATAAACTACTACAGTCAGTGGAACACAAATGGTGGGGTGCTAACTGAAGGCAACTACAATTACAAAAACTGGAATCATGTATATGTCAAGGATTGGGGAACAAATGCTTAAGTGGAGCCAGACCTGGCAAGGCCTCAGTGATGGACAATATGACCAGGAGGGATGGTGATGTGACTAGATAATCTCTTTCCCATGTTCTTTCTGAGTTTTGCTGAAATTCTCACAGTAGCAGGATATGAAGTTGGTATTATCTGGGTACAATATGCAGTTGTGAACTAAGTATGTTGCAATGTAAAACATTTTGAGATAACCTGGCCTTGAATACACAATTAAGACTTATTATGAAAGGCAGCTCATGGTGGAGATAAAAAATTCTAAAACTGTTGGTTGACAAAGATCAATACAATTTTCTATACTATATTTTGGAGTCTTTTTTGAGTATGTGCCTATGTGGGCTATTGTAATTGGTGTCTACACCATATATACCACTGGTGTGATAGGTTAAGAAAAATAGTGAATTTTGTTAATTCATTAAGTTGCAGCAGGATCATCACTACTGGGTGTGCAGGTATGTGTGTTAAGAGAAAAACATGCCCGGGTTAAATGTATCCACAAGCAAGGTAATAAGGGTTGATTCGTTTGGGCAACTCCCAGAGGAATATAACTGGGGAGAATTTGTCCCATGAGTTGGGCTTATTACTTTGTGTTTGCTTCTGGAAGCCTTGTTGCTCAGTTTCTGACTGGCAGTAATTTCATTTCATGCTGACCAATATTTTCTACATCCAAGGAACATTGGAAGATTTATTTCTACGGAATATGTGTGAGTGTAATACACAAAAGGAATTATAACTATACTGCTGATTGTATTTTTTTTAATTCACTGCTCTGAATACTTAAGAGTAAATTTCTGTTTTTTGCATTCTTCATATTTGTGTTATGTATTTTTGAACTGGTCAAACTGCACATTGTATTACTGGATAACTGGGTTACACACACTGAACAATCCACAAAAAAAATTACATTTTTAAAATAAACTTGATTTTTTTTTTACACAAAGCTTTCACAAAAGAATACATCTATCACATTTATACATCTCCCTTCAACTACAAAGTTTCCCAGAATGGCTTTCAATTGATTAAACTATTTTCCACTTGCAGTCTCAATAAGATAAGATGCACAAGAAAAAGGGGGTGGTGGGCTGGGAAGTAAGTTCAGCAGTTCCTGGCTGCTTTCTGTTCCCCTTAGAGAATGAAGCAATGACAGCTGGAACAGGAAGGAGGGAAGGGCTCTCATGTGCAATGGAGCCCAGGATCAATGTGTGACTGACTACTATTTCCTTACTCAGAAAACATAGTCCAAGTATCTGGAAATAGAGGTAGAGACTCTCACCAGCTGCTGGGACCTTGACATAATAGAACCATTAAGAGTAGTAATCTTAAAAGTATTGCCAAAATATGAGTATTCTAGAAGATATTTATTTATTTTACTATATTTCTTCTACCAAAGTTGAACTCAAAATAGCTCATTTCAAAATAAATCATATGACAAAAGGGACTGTTTAAAATATAAATGCTATAAGCAATTAAAATCAACATTAAAATAAATCATTCATATGTGTAAACTTTTAAGGTTTTTTTCAGTGTCAGAAGCGACTTGAGAATAACTGCAAGTTGCTTCTAGTGTGAGAGAATTTACAGAGACGTTGCCCAGGGGACATCTGGATGTGTTGCTGGGAGGCTTCTCTCATGTCCCCACAAACTAGAGCTGACAGATAGGAGCTCATCTCTTCTCATGGATTCGAACCAGCAGCCTTCAGGTTAGCAATCCAGCCTTCAGATCAGCAGTTCAGCCAGCACAAGGGTTTAACCCATTGCGCCACTGCAGCTCATTTCCAAGTTATGGAGACCCTAAGGCCATAGCTTAAAACTATCATGAGGTTTTCTGCGGTTTTCTGGCCTCAAGAGTTGTTGGCTGGATCTATACTTCCATGTAATGCAATTTGGAACAACCTTAAATAGTCAGTGTAGACCCATACAATGTAGTTCAGTGCAGTTATATTGCATTATATGGGTCTACACTGACATATAATGAGGTTCCAAACTACATTATATGGCAGTGTAGATCCAGCCATACTCTATTGTCCAAACCACGATCCCATGCTCCTTTGTAGTTATAACCTAATTACCATTTTTCAGCAGTAAAACTTATTAACACCTTTAAAGTTTTGTCTGTGTGGGTGTTTGCACTGTTGAAGCAGGTGCTAGAAAGGAAGTGAAACAGGGAACAGGGAAACAGTTATGAAAAAGCCTGCTGTATCCTTTTTGCATGTGGTGGGCAGACATTACCTTTCTGTCCACTTTTCTTATATCTAGTTTCTTTCTGTTTCTTGTTGAGAAGAATCAACCTTTGACATAGGGCAATTAAACATTGTAAAGGAAGAGGGAAATTAACCAGAACCCACAAGAGCAGCCTACCAGCCTACCTATCATTCACTATGACATTGGAAAAGACATTAAATCTCTTGGGGAATTGAACTACAATCCCCTCCACGACAACCAGTAATTGTAGTTCAATATATCTAAATGGTGCCAGGCAGAAAGTTGCATTAACACTACACCAGAAATTGTGGGGCTGAGGCATTTCCAAAATGAGGTACATCTCTGAATGTGTAATGAGAACTCTTATTTCCTATGATACATTAGGTGGTTTTCTTTCTTTCACTGAGGGCCCTTCCACACAGCCATATAACCCAGAATACCAAGGTAGATAATCCACAATATCTGTTTTGAACTGGGTTATCTGAGTCTACATTGCCATATAATCCAGTTAAATGTGGATTTTATACAGCTGTGTGGATGGGGCCTGAATGCTGCATTTCAGATAACATCTTTAAAAAATGCACATGTGTATAAATACATGTCTCACCTGATTCAGGAGAATTTGGGTCCTGAACTGTTATCTTGATTAAAATATTGACTGTATGTTGTCTGATAAAATGAAATGTTACCCCTCACAAGGCCATTTGCATGTTGGATTGTAACTCCAGGAGCCAAGTGTTCAAATCTCAAGAAAACCCTATGATATGGTGGACAAAAGGGCTCTTAGCAACAACAACAAAGATGTTGTCACAGGTAACTGGTAATATCTGGAGCATGATGTGACCTTCCAAGTTTCTGTTTTACCTAGATTTTTTCTAATCTGGTTTCACGCCTGGTTATGGAACACAGACGACTCGGGTGGCTTTGCTAGTTGACAGGGAACTGGATAGGGGAAATGTGTCATTAGCAGTTCTGCTGGATCTTTCAGCAGTTTTCAGTTATATTGATCATGGCATCCTTCTGAGTCACCTCTCTGGAATGGGACTTCAGGATACTCTTATGCAATAGCTCCAGTCTCGGGGGGGGGGGGGGCAAACTCAAAAGGTGGTGCTGTGGGGCTCCTGTTCATTGTTCTGGCCACTGGATTGTGGGTTCATACAGTATTCTCTTTTGTCTCTCATGCTGTTTGACTTCCACACAAACATTCCTGAGAGAGGTCATCCTGAATTTTGGAGTTTGATGTCATCAATATGCTGAACAGACTCAATTATTCCTCTCTTTCCCATCTGGTGCCAAGAAAACCTTCTTAGTACTACAGCATTGTCTGCTGTCAGTAATTGATTAGATGAGGGCTAACAAATTGAAATTTATTCCAGACAAGGCGGAGGAACTGCTGGTCAGATAAAAAGCAGATTAGGGAGTATGAACTCTGCCTGTGCTGAGTCTGACATCTCAGACTCATCACTTGGGTGATCTCTTAGACCCATCCCTGGATGTTCATGTGTCAGCAGTGGCCAGGAGTGTGTTTGCACAAATATAACTAGTTTGCCAGTTGTGCCCCTTCCTAAGGTGTTAAATCTGGAGGTGGTGACACACATGCCTTGATTATATCCTGTCTGGATACTATAATGCCCTGTATGTTGGGCTGCCTTTGGAAACTTCAGCAGGTCCAAATGTTGTGGCTGGAATGCTGACCTGGGTCAGTTAGAGAGAGCATACAGCTTCCTTCTTAAAACAGCTTCACTGGCTACTGGTTCATCTCTGGGAAAAATGTCTTGTGGTGGCCATGACCCATAAAGATCTATGTATCTTAGATCTAGACCAGTGGTTTCCAACTTTTATTCCTCCATGTATTTTAGACTTCAATTCCCAGAAATTCTTGGTGAGTGAGGGCACAAGAGAGAACCTTCTGAGTGACTGTTTCTACCCTCTGGAATATCCTTCTGCAGGAGATTTTCTTGCCCCACTCTCTGCTTCCCTTTCACTGTCAGGCAAAGACTTTTATGTAGGCCTTTTATATGAATGCACATTTCTGGGTTTTATTTGTATGTCTTATATTTTTAAACACTTGTTTGTTTTGAAATGGTTTTATATTGTTTTATAGAGTGAATTTAATTGCTTTTAATTGATTGTCTCTGGGGAGGCACTTTGGATCTGGGAAAAGGCAGCATACAAATTCCTCTCTCTCAATCTTTCTCTCACCTATACTATCTTTGGTTCCTTCTTTCCAGTTTCAATTAGACCAATTAGACAAGCAGAACACTGCACAATGCATCTTCTATCTGGGAATCTGTGGCATTTGTTTGCCTATAAAGATCGCCAGTCCTTAACTCAGATGGCACTATCACACTCTCCTGTTCCTGGTTACGGTCAGCCATGTTTTACGACAGTTCTCACCATAGGTTACTGGGTGCTGTTTTGAGTTTAAGTAATTGTTTTATATGCTCGTGGTTTTATTTTTTTATTGTATTGTGTGTTTATTTTTCCCATTGTTCCAGGCACATTGTGCCGTATGTAAGTCGCCCCCAGTCCCTTCGGGGAGATAGAGGTGGAGTACAAAAATAAAGTTGTTGTTATTGTTATTATTATTTGAAACACAATAAGATTAGTACATAGCAAACAAGATCACTCTGCTGGTTGTGGTATTGGATCACACGTCGGACACCTCCCAAGTGTCTAGGACTATGGGATGTATCGGCGAATAATGTGTGCAGATCCATTATTATTATTATTATTCATGAATGCTGAGGTCTCATGCTGATGAACTGCCTTTATGTATTTTTTTAAAACTACAAGACTTTTTAAAAAACAAAACTCTCACTAGTCAGCATGCAACCAGATTTCAAACCATAAACCTAATAATAGAAATGGTAATGATATAAAGGAAAGGAGAACAGCAATCATTGTTGTTATCACAATTATCTGTAGCATACTGACACTAACCCCTCAAACCAAACATACAGACAAAGCAAACAGATGAGAAAATTGGCCATTGCTTGATGGCCAATAGTGATATGTGTTTTTTAATGATAACCAGAAATTATGTTTGAGGCGTTTTTTGCCTGAAAGCTCGGCCCATGCCACTGCAGAGATATTTAGACCCACCCTTTCTTTGAGGACTTGCTGGACTTGCTTCCAAGTAGTCATGCCTACAAGAGCCAGAATGATGCAGTGGTTTAGGTGTTTGATTAGGACTTTGAGTGACCAGGTTTCAATTCCCTGCTCAGTCACAAAAACTGCTAGATAAGTCACTTTATTTCTGTCTGAGAGTAGCGGAATGGCAAGCCTCCTCTGAATAAATCTTGTCAAGAAAACCCTACAATAGAGTCACTATAAGTCAGAGTTTACTTGAAAACATATAAGGGCAACTACCACATGTGGGAGTGCACATATAAATATATAATACATAAAGTCAAAATATCTGACAATTATTTGTAATTTGAACAATAACTCAGTGACAACATGTCTGGATGTGGAGAGGTGAAGCCGTTTGGCAGTTGCTCTTCTTTTTCAATTTAAGCCCTCAAACCACTAAGGGTTAGTGTGGTCATTCAGTGAAGAAAGAGCACTCAGCCTCTGCAGAGTGGCCTTTTTAAAATCATGAGTCTTTTTACAAGTCTGAGCCCCAAAATTGCATACTCCAAGGCTGATGTGTCTTAAACTAAGCTCTCACTCACGTATTACTTTTTTTGCCCGAGCAATAACTTGGTCTTACAACTATGTCTTCTGTACTATGCACCATTGTGCATATATCACAATATTTCTGATAAATAATTCACAATCAAAACATCTTACCATACAGACATGGTTTGTTCACTACCAGCATCAAAACGAAAAAATCCAGTGCCAAACTGCCTGTGTTCATGGCCTGCAGATGTCTTCACTTCATGGTCTTCGTGGAAATGAAAGAGATTCTGTTGTCATCAAAGGGTTATCTCTTGTCTTTTAGGAACTTTCCTCAGTTAGATTAAGAGAATGCAAAAGTACAAAGAATATAACAAAGGGAGTGGAAAAAATTCTATTCCACCCACAAATCAGATATGTTCACCAGAGAACTTCCTACAGTGGCACTGTTGTATAGTGTCTGCCTGCTGCTTTTTGTGTCAAAAACCAAAACTGAAGTAATCTGCTGTTTTGCATTTCATGTTTTCCCCCTTTCAAGAGCAACTGTACAAAAAAAATCAAAACACTTCAAAATAAAAGGAACAAAATGCTATAAATAAAAGTATTCAAAAGTTTACAAACAAGATTATTACAGTAAACTTTTGCAATGTCTTCTTGCAATGTTTTGGACTTTTATAGCACTTCACATAGTGAATTTAGCTAGTGAGTATCAACAAAACTACATAAAACAAAGCAACTACACACCCTCCAACTCTCTTCACTGGAGAAGATAGTCCCAAATGAATTTTTGTAATTCCATTTTTCAGCTTCTTTTAAAATGTCAGTTTCTCTCTCCCCCTCCCACTACCAGGGGACCCCTCATCCTTGGCTTACTTTCTTTGTGTACAGTTCAAAGTGAAAAAGTAGCTTACATGTGTTTTATGTGCCATGAAGTCACCTGTTGATGTATGGCAATTTTATGGGGTTTTCTTAGGCAGGGAAAACTCCAAGGCAGTTTTGTCAATTCCTTCCACCTAAATATATAGCCTATAGCACCTGGTATTCATTGGAGAGATTCCATCCAAGTACTACTAATATTGATTCTGTTTAGCTTTCAAGATCAGATGAGTTCTGGTTCCTAGGGTATTCAAGGTTCTCTGCTGCCCTAGAGGATTGGGCCACGTCTAATAGTCTGAAGTTACAGAAAAATATAGTTCTATTAGAAGGAACTTCCTGACATTAATAGGGGTTCAGCAATGGAACACATACACAGGTGGGGTGGCCTTTTCTGAACCTTGAGAAAGTGGCCGGACAGCATCTGGTAGAGATACTTGAGCTCAGTGGTTCTCAACCTGTGGGTTCCCAGTTGTTTTGGCCTACAACTCCCAGAAATCCCAGGCAGTTTACCGGCTGTCAGGATTTCTGGACATTGACAGCCAAAACATCCAGAGACCCACAGGTTGAGAACCACTGCTTTAGCTGAAAATCTTGCATTGAGCACAGAGCTGGACTAGATGTCCATGAGGGAGTTTCCAACTGTATTATTTTACAACTCTATAAATTAACTTAGGGCGAATCTTGATAGCCCCTTTATTGTGGAAACTTCCGCAATAAAAAGGGGCTATCCAGACAAAGTTCTAGGCAACCTGGAATTAATTCACCACAAACCAGGAAAACCCTGGTTTGTGATGAATTAATTTGATAGTGGATTTGTTCCACATCTTCTTGGAAGGCACAGGATAAACTCACTATTTTTGGTAACTGGACTGCAGAATACTGCAGTCCAGAGAGTATTCCCACAGTTTTCTGGGCTAAATTAGCCCAGAAAACTCTGAGAATACCAACCGCTCCCCCAAACTCCTAAAGAAATCACTTTTAAAAATAAAAGTACTTACCGGGCCTCTATTGCAGAGCTGCCACAACTCTCCTGACACGAAGAAATGATGCTCCAGGAGAAAGGGAGGCAGAAGAGCAAAATAGCTCCTGCCCCCCCCCCCTTCTCTTGGTATGTCATTTCTACGTATTAGGAGAGCTGCGGAAGCTCTGCAATGGAGGCCCGGTAAATACTTTTATTTTTAAAGGGGTTTTTAGGAATTTTGGGGAGGAGGTAGAGTGTCCTGGTGACCTCCCGGGCYAGTCCCAGAAGGACACCTGGACACCCACCCCAGAAAGTGTGCATTTTTTAAACGCAGATGCTCCTGGACTAAAGCCCTATCTGGAAAGCCCCTTAGAAGAAGAAAGGTGGAGGAGTTACAATCTCATCCTTCGTAGTAGGCTCAGAAAAAAACCAACTGCTACAGCCTTTCTAGTATTGTGAGTTTTTCCTTTGTCCTCTTGATCACATTTTTATGTTGTTTTCCCACACATGTCCTTTTTATCTGTGCAGTGCTGGAGGATATGTAACCGAAAAACAACAGAAAGTGTCAATCTATTTGGGAAAATAGAAAATCATGGAATCATAGAGTTGGAAGAGATCTCATGGGCCATCCAGTCCAACCCCCTGCCAAGAAGCAGGAAAATCGCATTCAAAGCTTTCCCGACAGATGGCCATCCAGCCTCTGTTTAAAAGCCTCCAGAGAAGTGTTTACAAATCTTGTAGAAACAGTGAGTGTGTGTGTGAGAGAGAGAGGGAGGGAAGGAATGCATTCCACAAAGGAAACACGAATGAAAGATTAGCCTACTCAGAAGCCTTAGAATGCTGGTGGATTCTTTGTTGGGTAGAAAAACCTGCTGAGACTGATGCTACCTGGATCCCTTTTCGTTTGCCAGCTAGAACACTTATTTGGCTTGAAACATGGTAAAGTTCATGCAGATGCAATCTTTAGCTGTGGTTTATGCTATTAAGGGAGGGCTGCTGAAAGGTGGCCACAAGCATGTCCACAACCTGCACTTCAGTCTGCATCATCAGTATTGTGTCTACAGTATAGTGAAAAAAGAGACCTTTAGTCATGTCTATATAGAATCATAGAATCAAAGAGTTGGAAGAGACCTCTTGGGCCATCCAGTCCAACCCCCTGCCAAGAAGCAGGAATATTGCATTCAAATCACCCCTGACAAATGGCCATCCAGCCTCTGCTTAAAAGCTTCCAAAGAAGGAGCCTCCACCACACTCCGGGGCAAAGAGTTCCACTGCTGAACGGCTCTCACAGTCAGGAAGTTCTTCCTAATGTTCAGATGTGTGTGTGTGTGTGTGTGTTTGAAGCCTGCTGTCCAATGAGCAGTAAGACTGTGCTGTCGCACGCTGGGCCTGTGCATCAGACTGTAGACAGGACATAAATTCTGTGTGCCCAACGGGACGCCGGGGCTGCCTCAGATTAAAGGCCTTTGGATTTCCTTAAAACAGAGTCTTTAGATTGCTTAAAGGTTCAACAATGTTCTTTATTAATGAAAACAAACAGGTACTTTAAAGCTTTCTTAACAGTCTATTTGCTCTCTCTCAATCTTGTCCACAGGGAACAGGCACTATCTTTATAAACTGTATTTTAGCTAATAGGGAAATCCTTAACTTCTAATCTGGGCAGTCTGTCTTTGCCTCTGTTGGCGTGGAGCCCCTGCACCCGGTACCAACTGCTTCTGGCTTCCGCAAGTGACCCTTACCAAGTAGAGCTTTGTAGACTTCCAGGGGAAAAGGAGTTCAGTGATGGCTGGCTGAAGTCCCTCAGCAAAGGAGCTGTAAGGCTGTATGATCCTCAGCCAAGCTGTGGGCTGTATAACCCCGGCCAAGCTGTAGAAGACGAAGCTTTCTACAGGAGCTCTTGATATTATGTCCTGCATGGAAAGCTTCTCTGTGTGGACTGAACCCAAAAAGGCTCCTATTCCCTCCAAAACCCAAAAAGGGGGGGACCAGGGAACCTAACTATAATTGACAGGTGGCTTGCCCTATGATTGCAGCCAAAAGAAGCCACCTATCTGCAGAGTCCCTGAAACTTAGGACTACAACAAACATTCAATGCAAAGCAAACAAAATTGGAACTCCTGGTACAGCTGTACCTGCACAAAGACTTTGCTTCTTCTTTCACTTTTGCACACAGATGACCTGGTTTTAATGGTCCCTGCCATGTAAGGTAGGTCTTAGTTCCATCCTGATGAAGAAAAGTCTATGGAGCAATGATACTCAACCTCTGCTACCACAGGAAATTAGTGTTTGTTTCTTCTTTCAGTTTTGCTCAGAGTACCTGGTTTAAGTGGTCCGTGCAAATGTGAAGAAGTTCTTAGTTCCACCTTGGTGAAGCCGCAGCCCACGGAGCAGTGATATTCACTCAGGATCTCTAATCATTGACCATGTTGATTATGATCTCTAGAGCAAGCCTGCACAACTTGGCAGTAGTAAGAGGCCAAAATTAAATAGGCTAAGCCTTTTGGGGCTGCAAAAAGGTTTTTATCATGTCATTTTCCAAAAAAGGAATAACTAGTGATTAATCAGAATAGTTGTCATCTAGTTTTTTCAGAGTTAGGGCAACTCTATCACAGAGTTTTCTTGTTAATATTTATCCAAAGGGGACTTTGTATTCCTTTGAGGCTGAGAGAGTGTGACCGGTCTAAAGTCACCCAGTTTATTCAGTCATATTATTCAGACATTAAATCTATCCTGAAGCAGATTAATAAAATAACTTTTAGAGCTCCACTTTGCATAAGTCAGCATATTTTATACATTCTAATTTTCCTTCATGTCATTTTTAGTTTCTTTTATTACAAGATCACATGTATAGGGAGATTTTTATTTATTTTTTTTATTAAAATGCACATCTTCTGCATCTACAAAAGATTGCAATATGGTGCATTGATATCAGTAGAAATTCAGTATGTCATCAATAGAGGAGATTGGGAGCATATACATACACTCACAAGTCATATTATAACAAGAGCTTGGACGGGAGAGCATTTGGTAGCCATGCACGGCTCGGACCTCACTCTGCTCTAAACTTAGAGCTGAGGAGATCATATTATATTGTCTCAAGAGGAGTAAAGTTAAAACAATAATCAAATGTATTTCCAGAAAATCAAATTTATTTTCTAATTCTCAGGGCTGTTAGAGAACATTTTGAAATTAAATCCAAGAAGGAATAGAAGAAACCTACACAAAAATAGAACCTAGAAGCATTAATTGCTAAACAATGCCATCTAGAGGTGGTTGGCTATAATTTTACTCTTATAAAAGTCCCGCCAGAGGACTTTAAAATTACCAAGGGGCCAATTATCTCAAAGGTACTATCTAATCTTGGGAAAACATCAGGTCTGCTTATTTATTTATTTATCTATCTATCATGTCAGGAGCAAACCAAACAGTCGTATTAAAAAAAACCAACAGACTTTGCAAACTTGGCATTCTATTAAATGTCCTTTGACCAGTAGCTGGCCACTTGGAGTGCCTCTGGTGTTGCTATAAGAAGGTCCTCCATTGTGCATGTGGCAGGGCGCAGGTTGCATTGTAATAGGTGCTCTGTGGTTTGCTCTTCTCCACACTTGC